AAAGGGGTTTAACGTTATGGGCAGGTTGTGTGTGAGAGAGAATAAATAAGACAGCCCAATATTTAAAAAAATTGTTATTATTTTTTCCCGCATATTTTGCAACTTTTCGCATATTTCGCAACTTCCCGCAATTTCACCGCATAAAATCACATAAAATCCCCGCATGTTTAATCGCATAATCAAGGATTTTTTCCCGCGTTTTTTCTGGAGGGTCTAGAGAGAAGGCAGAAAATCGACATCTCCAAAATGTGACAACCCACACCAAAACAAATCTAAATAAATACATAGGACTAAAGGCACTTAAAAAATATTTTAAATTTTGGTGTGAACCTTCCCTTCAACTCAATAAGTAGGGTGTCATGTAATTCTCTTTAGGATGAATGGGTTTTAGTATTTTTCTGTAGTTGACGCAAAAATAGCCCATAACACAATGACCCAAAACAGCGAAGATATTTTTGACTTGAGTCCAGACTTCTCCTTAGCCTGAGTATTTACATATAGGACATTAAATGGAGTACTTAGAAAGATTAAAACCACATCAAGGAGATTTTGAAGGCATTAGTATGACTTAAATGCTGTTGTTTTGTTCTTTGAAGCTCACCTCCATGGAACCCTGTTCTTGTCTTTCAGCATCTTACTTGATGAAGCTGGACACATAAAGTTAACAGGTAGGTCTTTTATTTAATACACACATATATTTGACTTAATCCAAAAGAGAAATTAAACTGTCTTGACCTATGCCCGTAATTAAAATGTTTAATATTAAATGTGGCAGCATAAAAATGGATCCATGACCCAATTGTTGTCCTTAGGCTGACTTTCATCAGTGGTTACTTTTTGCCAACACCTTTTAGAGGATAAGAGTTGTCAGCTGTGTATTTAACCTCTTTTGCTTTGCATTGCTCTCGTGCAGACTTTGGCTTGAGTAAAGAGTCAGTAGATGTTGATAAGAAGGCTTATTCCTTCTGTGGTACGGTGGAGTATATGGCCCCTGAGGTGGTCAACAGGAGAGGACACACACAAAGTGCGGACTGGTGGTCTCTCGGAGTACTCATGGTACAGAACATGCCTCTTTTTACTGCTTAGACATTTATATTAAATGCTTTAGTTCATGTTCATGATTTTTTATTTTCTATCATTGTGTTGTTTGTAGTTTGAGATGCTAACGGGGACATTACCGTTCCAAGGGAAAGACCGCAACGAGACCATGAACATGATTCTCAAGTGAGTCATTACACACTGCATGATTAAGACACTCAGAGCGTGACAGAAGTGAGACATGTTTTGTAATTACTAATCGACTGTAGCGCCATACCAACATGTCCTTCTGCTCTTTTCCCCCCTCCAGAGCTAAGTTGGGAATGCCCCAGTTCCTAAGTTTGGAAGCCCAAAGTTTGCTGAGAATGCTGTTTAAACGTAATCCTGCTAACAGACTGGGTAAGGTGCATTTCAAAGAAACAACTGATGGTGTGTTCGGATCCTTAGTAAAAATATCACACTGTGACAATCACTCTAATACAAGTTAAAGACCTCGTTTAAAACCTTACTGATGTATAAACGGCAAAATCTAAGTATCGAAAGTAGTCATTGTTTCCCGTAAAATGTCACCTTTACTATAATACATGATGCATTTCACTCCTGTATTGTTGTTTTCCTGTAGTGTTTTATATATGTTTTTGTGCATGTAAATGGTCTGCAAAGGCTACAATCCCAAAGTTCCCTCCAGAGGGAGTTTCTCTCACACACTGCCTGAAACGCCTCCATTGGACCCCTTTTTTTAACTTAACATAGTGACATCACTATGTAACACTCGCGCTTCTATTGGCTAGCGCTCCAAAACATTGTACGTGATAGGCTACGTGGCGGGTCATCTCTAAAGGGTTGACCAATCAGAGCAGACTGGGCTCTGTTTTCAGACAGAGGGTGAAAAGAGGTGCTGCAGCACAGGCAGTATGAGAAAAATAAAGTGCTTTTTGAACATTAGAGCATGGAGACATGTCCCAGGAGAGGAACAAAATACCATTATCAACTTGAACATTTGTATAATAGGGCCCCTTTTAAAGTATTTCACTTGAGTAACTTGTTACATTAGTCAGATAACCCTGCCTGTAAAATGGAATGTGATGTGTTTATTCTCACATAGCACTCCTCGCATAATTTGAGCCTGTTAACATTTTGGCATCCACTTAAATCACACCGCAAAAACCCGCTGAGAGAAAGAACGTGTGAATGTGTTGATCCTGTGAAAACAATAGAAAACGAACCTGCCAGGTTAAATGAATCGGACTGATCTGTGTGTTCAGGGGCCGGGCCCGACGGAGTGGAGGAGATCAAACGCCACGCTTTCTTTTCCACCATCGACTGGAATGTGAGTACACACACACACACACACACACACCCCTCACACACAGATTTACACAGACACATGTAACGTCTCCAACTTCTGTCGAATATTCACACCTAACAAACGGTTGGCGTGGTGAGTTCTGGCCATCAGTCTTGGCTGTGCGTGTGTGTGTGTCTGGGCAGAGGGCCAGTTCTCGCTGTGTGTGCACTAATAGCCCTGCGTGAGTGTTTAAGAGCCTGCAGGATGCTGTTGGCTGCACCAGGCTGTACAGCGGGTTAATTTGGGAGGGGTCTTGGCTTTTCTCTCTCGCATATGTTCACACACATTGCTGTGGTGGGGTTTAATGTGTGTGTGTGTGTGTGTGTGTGTGTGTGTGTGTGTGTGTGTGTGTGTGTGTGTGTGTGTGTGTGTGTGTGTGTGTGTGTGTGTGTGTGTGTGTGTGTGTGTGTGTGTGTGTGTGTGTGTGTGTGTGTGTGTGTGTGTGTGTTCTGCAGAAACTGTACAGGAGAGAGCTCCAGCCCCCATTCAAGCCTGCAGCAGGTAAACCAGATGACACGTTCTGCTTCGACCCCGAGTTCACCGCTAAAACGCCTAAAGGTAAAAAGCCACACATACACACCGTTCTGTTCCAATACTTAAAAACTACTCCTGCTGCCATGGAAACTGCATCCGAGCACTGACAACATGTAGTGGGTGTGTGTATGTTCACATGACGATAATATGAATTATCTTTTGTATGTGCAGACTCCCCGGGTATCCCGCCCAGTGCTAATGCCCACCAGCTCTTCAAAGGCTTCAGTTTCGTTGCTCCAGCCCCTATGGATGAGAACAAGAGCTCCCCCATGCTCAGCATACTCCCCATAGTTCAGGTGAACACACATCCTCTTGCAAATGTCCTCTTATCATAAGTTACACATGTACATTTTCAGCTTTAATACAATAATATGTGCAAAAATGTTAAAGAATGAATCCGTTTATCTCTTAAAAAGTGGTGCAGTGATGACGTATTATTGTAGGCTAACCTGGGAGGTAGCATCGCAAGAGCTCCCTCGACTAAAATCCAATAGGAACTTTATACGATTTTGGAAACAAACCTTTATGAAGCTTACACTAAGAGTGTAGTGGAAATGCTATTCATAACTACGTAACGGTCGCATGACTTCACGTCACTGCCGCTAAGCTAAAAGCAGCTAATTATAAGTGTTGTGTCATGTAGAAGTCTCATTTAGCTGCTTGTTAGCAACAACTGTTTTCTAAGGCATGTAAAAGCTTCAGACATTTACTTGTTGGGTATTCTTTAACATATTTTATGTCATAGAAGAAAACATGAATATTTCCTTAGCTTGTCTTTACTAACCGGAAGTGCTGAAATGCTAAATCATATCCGCGATTAGACGATGGATAGATAGGTACTTTATTGTTCCCGATTTGGGACATTTTAGTTTTGTATTAGGACTCATTCCAGCACCACTCTATAGCGGGTTTTCAACATAGCGACTAGAAGTGTGTACTAATGTGGAGCTTTGCACAGACTTCTTCCTGCAGGCAGCGCCCTTGCAAAAGCTGGTCAAAACACTGTTAGTTCACACATATGGAACTGTTGCTGATCACATTTTCGCCACATTTTAGTTGACAAAACTCACACTTCTTATTTGTCACTGACTGCCTTCTTTATTTTTTCTTAGCAAACTTAAAAGTAGTTTTCTTTACAATCAAGGAAAATGAGGATCTTAAATAATTGACATGATGTTAGAAATAGCAAGAATGGCTCACTTTAACGGTATTAGGTAATATGTTAATAGCGACCTAATTCTACGATAGTGGTAAATGACGATTTAAATTCAGATTCAGCTGAGTTTCTAAAATCATTACTACTACAAGTCCCACTCTGGCGTATTTGTGAAGTTAAAATTCTGTGGGTGCTCCAGCTTTGCGATTACTCATCAAATGTGTGGGCATGGCTTGTGAAGGACAGAAGCTGCTGATTTTAGAGGAATGCTTTTTATATATATTTAGTTTTTCGGTTTGGGTTAAAGATAGTGTAACAATTCAAATGTTTTTCTCTCCAGATGCACGGGGGTTCGACAAAGTTCTCCGATCTTTACGAGCTGCAGGAGGACATAGGGGTCGGCTCCTACTCCATTTGTAAACGATGTGTACACAGAGTCTCTGCCATGCACTATGCTGTGAAGGTAGTACATTTTTCTTCCTTTTTTTTAATATACGTATCATTGGAATCCTTTGTTTACTTCTGTAACATAGTGACGCTACGTTACACTAGCGCTTCAATTGGCTAAGGGGGGGGACATTTCCGACCCATCTCTAAGCGTGTCTCTGTAAATAAAGATAACTTAGATTCTAATAAAAACGTTACTGTATTGTGTTCAGGGTTGCCAACAGACCAGCAGAGGGCAGCATGGCGTTAGCAACTAAAGCCAAATATCTCAGCTAGTTAAGGTTGTTATACATTTGTTTTTTGACTAACTGCTCATATCTGTGTTTTTATGTGTCGCAGATTATAGACAAAAGCAAGAGGGACCCCTCTGAGGAGATCGAAATCCTGATGCGTTACGGACAGCATCCCAACATCATCACTCTGAAAGACGTCAGTTGCTTTTGTGTGTGTGTTTCTCTACTTTAAAGTTTTAGTTTGACGCCATACTGACAGATTGTATCTCCACATGGATGTGTGTGTCAGGTGTATGACGAGGGCAGGTACGTGTACCTGGTGACGGAGCTGATGAAAGGAGGGGAGCTGCTGGATAAGATCCTCAGGCAGAAGTTTTTCTCTGAGAGAGAGGCCAGTGCTGTGCTCTACACCATCACCAAGACTGTTGACTACCTCCACTGCCAAGGGGTGAGCAGACACTCTGTACTAGAGGAGCACAAGTGGAACGTTGTATCTTCTGCTTCTCTAATGTCTCCTCCTCGTCCCCAGGTGGTACACCGAGACCTGAAACCCAGTAACATCCTTTACATGGATGACTCGGGAAATCCTGACTCCATCAGGATCTGTGACTTTGGATTCGCCAAGCAGCTTCGAGGAGGCAACGGCCTGCTCCTCACCCCCTGTTACACCGCTAACTTTGTGGCACCCGAGGTGAGAAATGATGGAAGCAGAAAGAGACCCAATGCCAGAGGGAATATAAGACTTGATACCTGAAGGATGCAATTTTAAGATACAGAAAAGTTGTAGTAGACTAGGGTAAACAATTTAATTTAACTTTGGGTTTTAATTGGGACAACTATTATACACATATAAAACATATGGGTCATTGCTTTTAAAATAGTGAAAAACTACAGAAAACCTTTACTGAACAAAAAAGCTACCTTATAATACCTCCCTTTTTATATATTGATTAATTTGTAAAACTCTAGTAAAAGAAACAAAAAAGTTAAATATTATATATTTTGTTTCATGTATATACTACCAAATGAATTCACAGTAAAAATATAACTAACTAGATTATTTTGAATGATATTGTAATTGCGATTTTGAAAATGGTTTCCAATCATCATTGAAAGTTATATTACAATTATTTTCTTCTTTTGTTTATAAAGGGGATTTGTACCCAAACATTTTTTACGTCTGTAAAATACAGTTCTTAGGCTAGGATAACTTCGCACATCTCCATTCATAACTCAGAATTAGCACCAGTCCATTTTGCAAGTTCATTGAAATTTTACAAATTGTACCTCAGTTTTATACTTGTTAATCATCTTGTTTAAGTATATTAAGTGTAATAAACAACATTTATTACAAAAACATTTGTATTATTCCCCAAGTAGTCCCTAATGGTTTGCTTTTCTGTGTTTGTGTGGCTACAGGTACTGATGCGGCAAGGTTATGATGCAGCCTGTGATATATGGAGTCTTGGAGTTCTACTGTATACCATGCTGGCAGGGTAAGACTCATAAAGACAATGGTTGGATCATTTGTTTTGAATGTGGGAGGCAGCAATGATTAATCATGAAGGGTCAAACCTTTTTAAATGTTGCAGACATGGAACTGAAAATAGAAGCTTTAGATAAGGGCTTTTGTTACTCTGCTTGTGTTGTTTGTGTAGTTGTGGAAAACTTGGATCAATTAATTTAGCTGATTGTAGTTTAACAAAACAAATGTGGCAGTCAATTTAGTTTTTTGTTGTTTGGTTAAATCAACTTTATTTAATGAATATAACTCGTCACTTTGGTCATCATTAATAAGATAATGGGATGGAGAGCCAAGCTTACAAGATCATTAATATGACCTTGTTTTGTTGTTGTCACGTTGCTTTGACTCTTTAACACTTTAGTTTATTACAATAGTTTTGAGATTTGTTTTGAATTTTGAAAATAATAAAAAAACAATATCTTTTCAATAATTTTTTACTGTGGGACTTGACAACGCTCTGGAGCTATTTGAAAAGGTTTGGAGAACACAAGTCAGAAACAATCTCCTGCAGACACCACTGGAACCTATTACTAAAATAGCCTGATTCACTTCATATTTTTTCAAAATATGATTTATATACTAAAATCTCAATGTTTCAAATGAAGCTCCAAACCAATTGGAACCGTATTGGACATAAGGAGAATCTAAGGAATGAGATTCTGTCTTTTGCTAACGTCTGTGTTTTATCTCCCGTCAGGTACACGCCGTTTGCTAACGGGCCAAACGACACGCCAGAGGAGATTCTGCTCCGGATAGGATCTGGAAAGTTCTCTTTGACAGGCGGCAACTGGGATACTGTATCAGACAGCTCGAAGGTACACATTCCTACGCTGTCTTTGAAGCTCATTTTCATTGATACTATGCCTTTTAAAGTGTTATTTGAACTATAATTTGTTCTCCTCTGATGTCTTTAAGCACTTTGTACATTTGGTTTTGAGGGTGCTACTTAAACCTAATTTAGCTGTTTTATTTGGATGTGATCCCATTAGTATTTTTCTCTTTGTGTGTTTGATTGTGCAGAGGTACATCCAGTGATAAAATAAGATATTTTTCCTCTGTGTGTTTAACAATGGAAATCAAGTTTAAAACGAATCCTCCTACTCGTTCGTTAACACTGGAAGTTGTTTATTGTTCCAGGACCTGCTGTCCCATATGCTCCATGTGGACCCTCACCAGCGATACACAGCAGAGCAGGTTCTGAAGCATTCCTGGATCACCTGCAGAGACACGCTACCGCACTTCCAGCTCACACGCCATGATGCACCTCACCTCGTCAAGGTGGGTCTATAGAGCCTCCTTATAGGGGTCGGTGGTACACAGTGTTTTACTGGTTTTGGTGCCAGTTCCCTACAGCAGAAAAAAATAATAATTATGAATTTGCCTGACAAAAGTCCTCCTGCTGGGAACTGAGTTAACATTGTGCCCACTGGCAGTTTCAAAGAACATTTAAAACACTTCTGTATTCCACTGTACGTACGCTCGACACATTTTCAGGTCATGACAGGATATAAAACTCATCTCTAATTCAATGAAATTATATTTTCAAAAATACAAAGGAAAAATAATCATTGACAAAACAAAAGGAGGACCGTTTTAATTAGTTCCACCTTGACTATATTTACACATTCAAAGTGAAACGAGACCCCCTGGACCGCGGTGGTTGGGTCCAAACACACAATACGTTATACCCCCCGACATCCTAGCTGCTTGATCAGCCAATTAGCTGCTGCCAAAGTCTGACTAGAGCTAATGGTTTGGGACATACCACACAAAACGACAGCAAAAGATGCTCACAAAAGGCCCAAAATTGACATTGGCTTGTTGGGTGTTAAAGACTACCGTAATTTTCGGACTATAAGGCGCACCTGAATATAAGCCGCAGCAGCTAAATTGAATGATGTGTACATATATAAGCCGCACTGGACTATAAACCGCAGGTGTTTTAATGTTTAATTACCATATGTAAGGGTTCGTGCTCAGAGGGGATTGTCGGGAAAGAGATGGCTGTTTGAGGGAGCTCCCATTTATTAACATTCCAACAAACCAGTTGCATATTTGCATAACGTATTCAAGTGTTACCATTTAGTGCAATAGTAGCTACAGAACATGTACTGTGCTGTGTAAACTGTACTGTATCACATAGCGTTTCAGACACACAAACTTTTCAACTTTCAAATTTAAACGGTGCGCTCCCAGCGCACGTACCGGCAGTGATCTACAGCAGTGGTTTTCAACCAGTGGTACGGGGACAAACTGTCTCGCTCTCGTAATGTCTGTCTGTCTTGCTCTCGTTCTGTCTCTCGTACCACTCTCGGTTCCACTTTTACTTTTGCGCGCTACACCTTTTACTTTTGCGCGCTACCTGTCTCACTCTTTTTATCCTGGGCTCCAGCTATTCACTGTTGGCCGCCACTTAAAGTTTTGGGGTCCGCGGACGGGCAATAGAGGCCCATTAAGTTAAGGGTGGTTGGACTGTACCTGTAAAATTCCATTAGATTTAAGCCCATAGAGTTAAAGGTGGTGGACTGTAACCTGTAGAAATCCATAGATTAGCCGCACCGTTATATAAACTGCAGCGTCGAAAAATGGGAAAAAAGGCGCGGCTTATAGTCCGAATATTACGGTAGTTGTATCGCAAATTTGGCATACATGGCCTAACATGTGTTGGTCTTCTTGGTTACTTTATAAAGTGTTTCTGAACATGGAACCACATCATCTGACCAAACCAGAAGAGGGTCTGAAGTCTGCTTCATGACCCATTTCTACTCTATTACCAACGCCAGACCCAACAGAGCAGACGTGTCCATCTTTTTACCTTATCTCCCCACTTACCCAGGTTGAATGCTTCTTCTTTCTCAAGGAACTCAGAACGGTGTATCTTTGTCAGAAGACGTTTGGCACTAAGTGGTTTAAGTTGAGAGCACTTTTGCTAGATTGCTGAACTATTCACCCTTAGCATATGACATAAGAGTCTTCCTTGGTGCCATCATAGCTCTTTTTTGGTCACAACCTTTTACTGTAAGTGCCACTCATAGAAATACATCATTACATGATTTGAACCTGATCTATTACACATTTCTAGTTGCCGTACAAATGCAAAAACCAGTAGTTCACTTTCATGTCTGTGGAGCTACGTTACTGTATTTGTTGTGAAACTGCCCATTATCCAAGGATGGAATCATCATTTCAATGATCCCTGTCTAGCAAGAGTATTCCCTTATGAAATCCATGCAAATCTCTATGATGATGTATGGTCCAATAGACTCATGCCAGTCACATTAAATGTCTTTCTTTTTATTAGCACGTGCATTGTGACTTTTTACTCTAAATATTGGTGTTCCCGGCTGTTTGCTTGTCATCATTCTTTAAGTCGTAAATCCCCACTGATGGCACTTTTTTTGCGATCTTCATATTTTCTTGCACATAAAAGTCTTACAGATAGTATGTACTGAAATGCCTCGCTGCACACTACAGCCATAAGGTGTTATTTGGGTACATGCATAAAAGTGGACTTTCGTGTCAAGGCCACTAGAAACTGGATGTTTCACCACTTTGACTCTTGTCTATCAACTGTAGAAACACTGATAATGTGTGTGTCACCTTTTATTAAGCATGTACAGATGCATATTTTTTGGTTGTTTTTAAGGCATGTTTTCCTTCGACACATTTTATAATGCATGTGCTTTTGTTCAACGGTGTGTTATGTTTCAGTGCTGCATATTTTTAGAAGACGTGTCCCTGAGTCATCACTGGATAAGTGGGTGACAGAAAAACAAACAAAAGCTGTGCAATACAATGTTTCATAAGCTAGTTGTTAGCATAACTCAGCCATTTCTTTAAACTTTGTTGGGTTTTGTGTTAACATATTCCTGCGTCGTCAGAGCATTTATAAAAAAGTCAAAGGTATTATTAATAACATTTCAATTGACATATTGTTTAAGGTATTATTTCATGTTTTCTGCATTTAAATTTCGAAACATTTATTTAATATTTTTGCTGAGTTTGATTGCTACTCAATACCAAATGCTTCCTACTATCTTCAAACCTAGAGAAACATATCATTTGTAGCCACAGTTTTACAATACACTTTGTAATTTTCAGTTGTGTCAACTTTATATTTTAAGAATTGGTCAAAAAGAGTGACCTAGCCAGCCAGGTGACCAAAGACTAAGACATTATTTCTGGATGTAGAGAGAGAAGACAGTTATCGGAAAACCTGAGAAATACACTCAAAGCATCTGGTTAAAGAATTCTTCTTTTGTTGGATAAATCTATTTTATTAGAGTTTTCACGGTTAAATTAGCAATAGAAATTGATGACCATACAAAAAATGTTGCCTTTTGTGGTAGAACAAACTTGACTGAACTCCTGTTTATTAGTGTAAATGCAAACGACTATTAGTTTATTATCAAACCACCTAACAGTCCCATGACTTCACATCAACACCATTAAGTTAAAGGTGGCTAATATTTAGTGTGATGACATTTAGTATTCTCATTTAGTGCCTTTTTTAAAAGCTTCATGCATTCACTAGTGACAAAACCTGACAATCTCCTAAACGTCTGTTAACCACAGATCTTATTTCAGGAACTAACTGAAAACTCATTTAAAAAAACATTTGGCTTTGAGTCTAAACAGATATCCTAAAATGCAGACTCATTTCCTGGTTTAAGACTTATTCCTGCACCACTCTATTGCTTCATAGCTAAAGTGTTCTATCTATTAAAAATTAAAGCCAGATGTTGTTGTTTTCCAGGGAGCCATGGCTGCCACATATTCAGCACTGAGCCAGAAGACGAGTCAGCCGGTGTTGGAGCCGGTGGCGGCGTCCAGTCTAGCCCAGAGACGCAGCATGAAGAAACTCACCTCAACAGACATGTAGACACCCAACGCCCTCCTGTTTCACTTAACTCTCAAGTCGGACTCTCATACGCAAAAACACACACAGATCAAAGTCCTGGCCAGTTGTCCTACTGTCTCCCTTTTTAACCTATTTATTTGACACCCCCAACATATGCACACTCACACTGGACGTGGTTGCATTGTGAAGACATCAGCTGAAGCGGAGAGGGGGAAACTCACATATCTGTTACTGCTGGGAACACAGAGTTGTATTTATTTCCACAGCTTTCATATGCACTTGCCCTCCTCGCCTTTTTCATTCTCTCTTCCTCTGTGTGGGGAAGAAACACACACCAGCTGATGTTCTCCTTCACTGTGATTGGCTGATTCAAAGCTGCTTCGGTAAACTGTGCCCCCCCTCCCACTGCTCTTCATCTGTGCTCCTTAGTTATCTCTCCTTTCCTCATTGCCGTTTGCTGTCTTAACTTCTTTTCTTCAAAGTGCAGTAATGGTTTATGTGCGAGAGTGTTGGCAGGCTGGTATTGACGCAGGGTCATCGTAAGACTTGCCTCTCTTAAAAATAAAAAAATATATGATTCTGCTTCTGAAAAAGGTCCCTCACGATCAAAAATAATCTGCCAGCACTTTTGTTACATAAATGCATGTGGGCTGAACCTGTGTTTCTTCTCCCTTTAACTCGTCGTCTGACTCATGTTACTTTAAGATGCTAACAATGTATCAGAAAGAGGAAGAAAAAGCTGCATATGGAAAGAAGAAAGAGTTCAAAGGTGGAGAACAAGGTGGTTACAATGACAGGAAATTCTAGTTTGCAAAAAAATATATATATATAATGATGAAGAGCATGTGGGGGAGCTGTATGGATTTCTCTGGGGGGGATGGGACGCACCCCATCAAACCAGAGAGGCTGAATTTAAAAAAAGAAAAAAACAGATTTCCATTGATATCTCTTCAAAAAAGACATTGTGGAAATTGTATTATATTGTATTTATTTCATTTGATTTTTAAGATTCTATTTTTCTTTCAAGTTCTGTATATATTGACATTAAAGATCATTATTGACATGCATCAGGTGTGAGCTGGTTTGTTCTATCACGTCTGTCCACTCGAATACAAAATAACAACAGTCTAACACTAAGATTTTAAAGCCAATCAATATAAAACCAACCCCATGTAAGGGTTGCTGAATAGCCACTAATGTGTTGACATATGGCAATTCCATTACCTGAATTTTAACTCATTTTAAGAGAAGTAGCGCAAGATGTTTTCTCTTGTACTTTCTGATAAAAACATTGAAATCTACCAGAGACAGTTCAACATAGGGAAACAAGTATACATGACTTAAGGTTAACAAATTAACTCAGTAATGCAAGTATTCAGATACTAGATTAAAGATACTAATTCCACACTAAGAAAAACTACTGCAAAAAAAGATCATGCATTCTATACCTATGTTAAAGAAATATTTAAGTATTTAGAGATCGATTAATTTTAAGTATTTTGCAGTTAATTATTCTATTATTCAATGTCAGTGTTTTCCTATCATAGGACCTTTTGGTTTAAGATTACTTTTGCATTAGGTAGTTAAATCTACAGCACATTTGGTTTGTCAGAGCTGACAACAGTAGAAAGATAGCAAACAAAAACTAAACTTGTTTGTCTTGATTTGGAAAAGGGAGTCTCATGGTAAAGAGATCTATGAACAAATTACCTACTAACCTCTTGATTTGCTACTCCAGTAAAAAAAAAAATCCTAATTACTTTTTAGCATGATGCTAATTTTGTAAATTAGAGTCACATACATTTAGCTCCAAGCTTCTCGAACTTCTTTTTCCAGAAAACCAAGATGGCAACTACCAAAAACACTGACAACCTCAAGACTTCCTTTTCTTTCAGTGAGGGGAGGTTTGGTTAAATTCTCCACGTTTCAGCTCTTGAATGCATTTGATCCATTGTACATAGATGTACAAAAATATTGATTGATACTGCTTTAAATATAAAGTATTTTAATGGTCCAATCAGGTGAGAAAATGTTTTTTTAATGTGAATAGACCTCAACCGATAGCCATCATCCAAGCAGCTACATTCCCCTTTGTGTCCTACCCCAATTTACATAAATGAGATGCAAAGTGTATTAGCCACCACTAGGTGGAAACACTGTCCAGTAGATGAGAAGTGAAACAGCAAGTTGAACACACAGCGTCCCCTCAGCGGGTTCGGTCCTTACCTTTATGTAAATGATCGGCCTCGCCTGCTTCCATTTTGTCTGTCCAACCCTACCAACCCCCTGCTCCCCTGAGAATACGAGCTCCCCTAAGCAGCGTGTGTAAAGAGAAGTGTGTGCGTGTGCGTGTGCGCGTGCGTACGTGTCTGTGAGCTGTCATGACCAGACAGCAGAGGATGGAGATCTAGGCAGGAGAGCAGATGGATTGAGGCACGAGGACTGCTCCCACAAAGGCACACACACACACACACACACACACACTGGCCTATAGGCCAGCTGTTGTCCTTTTTCGGCAACTGTCTGATTTGACTCCTCTCTCTTTCCCTCTCTCTCCTGGATTAGATGCATTTAGCAGTCAGCCTGGGAGTTGCGAGGTAAACAGTGGGGCTAATTGTTTTGACACACTGCTCTTTGTTTTGGCCTCCTGGTGCTAATCAACCACTCGGCTAATAAGGTGCTGTTTACACGGGAACGAAACGGGTTGTATCCGTTACTTTTCTCTTTCGTATAGCCCGTTCGTTCACACGAGGCCGTAACGGAACCGCGGAAACGGACCCCTAAAACTATAACGGGTTCCAAGGTGGATAGATCTGCGGACGGAACGCTCTGGGGGGCCAAACGGCTCCGTGTGTACGTCCAATACGATAATTTTCCTGATAACGATGAAGCCATAGCCCCACCTCTGCTGCTCACTGCTGTAGCATGGTTAGTAGCTACTGTCAGTAGCTACTGCTAGTGCTACTGCTACTGCTACTGACCATGCTACAGATGTTAGTGCAAAATCTACAGCTCCACCATCAGCAACAAGTGGACATGGAGAACTTCATGTTGCTAAATCCACCGCGGAGAATAAACAGAAGGGCAACCAGGCAACCATGGCAACCATGCTCGGGGGTCTTCCTCGCTGCTTTTGGTGTATTTTGTGGCGGAAGGCGCCACTTACAGGCCCAGCATATGTACTACAGTGGGTCGAGCGGTCTCGTGTGAAGGGACACGTTTATTGAGCCTTATCCGTGTGAACGGCAGACTTTTTTGATATCGAATTCAGTTCGTTTGCGTTGCGTTTGCGTTCCCGTGTAAATGGGGCCTAAGTCCGCCTGGCAAGGAAAACAAAACTGTGTTCAGGGACAGGCAGGGAGGAAGGCGAAAAAGGTGACGGGGTCTGTCACGTTGACTTTGTTGACCCCACATTAAAAGTGTCCCCGTCATGTAAGCAATCCCCACTTTACTCGTCATCCGGGGTCCCCACATTGCTGCTATATCAGCATAGCACCCCGCTCAGGTGTGAATCTATTTATCCTCATTAACGAGCGTCTCCCCAAAGCCAGCCAATTAACACACTGCTCCTAATGAAGCCATTAGCTGTCAGATGAGGTTGAGGCAGTGCTTGTCATCAGTCCACTATGTGTTTGCGTGCGTGTGTGCGTGTGTATCCACTCTTGCTGCTAATAAAAGCAAGATAATTAATGGAGTGAGCGTGTGTGATAATGAGTTAATGTGGAACAAGCAGGACGAGCAGTGATCAGCCCTCTGTCTCAAATGAAGATATCAGACACAGTGATTTACTCTGTGTCGTAAACAGGCCTCTCGCATATATACCACTCCCCCATGTGCTTGTGTGTGTGTGTGTTTAATCTGCATAAGTGGTATGGCGAAAGCTCTTTTGAAACATGCCACTTGTCTCTGTATTTTCCTCTTAACTGCAGGTGTCCACGTGTGACCACTTACCATCACATCAAAGTTTGTGCAGGAGTGTCGGCCTCAACATAACAAAGTGTGGATGTCACTCAGAGTTCACCTCTTCCTTAATGGAGCTATCATCCAGCACAACCCTAATATGGTTTTAATTGGCAAAGTGATTGCAAAGACATGAATGCCACAGCCTCAATAGAGAAGAACAATGAGATCACAGAGGCAGCTGTTCTACTGACACTATTTCATAATGAACTGCCAGCAGTGGTGGAGGATGTAGCAGCTCATACTTAAGGAGAAGTACTCATACCATATTGTGAAGAAACTCCACTACAGGTAAAAGACCTGCATTCAAAACACTTTTACTTATACATCTTTTTACTTAAGCAACTAAATATTGAACTTTTATATACCCTCTTTTTCAGTGGTATTCTTTTATTGTTTTGTTGTATGTGCGTTTGTTCGGCACCTCGTATTAAAACTTTGCACGAAAAAAAAAAAAGTTAAGGGCTAGTACCTTGATTTTTAACAGAAGGACAGCACCTAATGGTGCTACAAAATTGGTTAAAAATATTTCTGACACCTTGAATCAACCTGGGGAAGAAATAAGAATTTTGTATTTTACAAAAAACAACACAGAACTAAGCTTCATTTTCTGTATTCATGATGATTCCTATAGATTCTCATATTAAGATCCTTTTGGCTGGATGTCCTGTATATCCTACAGCATCCCTCCCCCAGCTTACAAACTGTAGCTGGAGCTGTCAGAGGGTGCCAGAAACTAAGGATGTGAAATTGATTTTAGGTTATAGCGATTAGCCCTATTCTTCCTCTGCTTCTTCTTTGACAACCCCTCTTCCTCCTCTTCCTCCGCTCTGATTTCTCTTCTCCTCCTCTCTCAGTAACAGTTACTCTTAGATTTGTGATGTCCTTTAATACACTGATACAGAGGTCTCCTGCCTGCAGTGATTAATTATCAAGTTTGGACATAGTTCATCTGGAAAGTGATGTCACAGTCACGTGACGTGGTCAAATGACTGGTGACCGGTAAACAGGAAGTGATACAAGTTTTGCCGGGAGTTTCAGAAAAGGCTTTCACCTGGATGCACTTTCCATATTGTGTCCCTCTCACTAACAGTGGCGGAGCCAGGACATTTTCAGTGGGATGGCCAGGATGGAACCAGTGATCATTTTGGGGTGGCATTGAAATCACTATTATATGAACATAAAAATACATCTCACTAGAAAATAAGGGGTTATTTAAGGCACCTACAACACACCTCTACATTATTTGGGATTAAGCTAGTGGTGGAATAGATCAAATAATATTCAGTATATCTAACAATTTTTTTTGTATTCCCGCAGGCAAAGTATCAACAAAGCTTACATTATACAAATGTAATGCAATACACAGACTGTTTAGCTTATGATGATCAGCAGCCCTCAGAGAGGGCAATGAGGTCATTGTCTCAGTGTATCCTCAGGAATACAGAGACACACACACATAATTTAAGTAAGAGTTTTTAAATTCAATGATAGGTTAAGAATAAACATCTTAAAGTAAATAACAATAAACAATAGCCCTTAACCCTGTAAGAACCCCGGTTGTAATTTTACAACATTAATTGAAGCTATCCTAAAAAAGTCAGTAAATGTTTTTTTTTTTTAAAAGACTACATTTACAAAGTCAAAATGTCCTTTTGTTCAGCCTCACATGCTATTGGGTAGTAAATGTGTTATAGGTCCTTCTGCCCTCTGGCCATACACGCCAGGGATTTTGGGCCCCATGGAAATATATCACATTGGGCCCCACCACCAGGCCCAGGCCACGCCAACCAAGCACAATGCTGTAACCACACCTCCAGAACCCAACCCACTCATTTATGCTTTAAATAACTCTACAT